AAAACACCAGGTATCATAAATGATGCTACCATCCCAGTTTCATAGAAAAGTGAACAGATGTATTGATATTTAACTGTGTCCAAGGACACAAATAATACACAATTTAAATTCAGCTCAGTTTGACTCCATGAGCTGAATTCTAAACATAATACCATTTTCTCTCTAATAAACACAATATTGTCATGTTCATAATTCTCTTGTTGAAATACAATATAAATTCCTATGAATTATTGCCTTTAATTATTGCCATTTAGAATAAGTGACTTTTAGATTGGCCTTAATTAATGTTCTATAATTATGTTCATAAGTATGAACCTCTCTAAGAATGCCTAAAATCTACATTATAACATTTAATGTTTTATTTTAAAATATGAAAACATTTGTTTTCTTTATTTTATTATTTTAAAAATCAATCTTAATGAGTATAATAATTATAAGGACATAGTTTGGTGAATGTTCTTTTATTTTTGGGAAAGAGTCTTACTACGTAACTCAGGCTGGCCTTGAACTCAGTGATCCTCCTGCCTTCAGCCTCCCAAGTTCTGGAGTTATAGGCATGCATGACCACGCCCAGCCAGATTGGAAAATTTTGGATATATATTCATATTTGGGAGAATATAATATATATATATATTATATTCAAGATATAGAGTATTTCTGTTATCATGAAAATTTTTTCTTCTGCCTCTTTGTATTCAATGCCACTCTTCTCCATCTTTGCCTAGAGGTAAACATTGATCTGCTTTTTATCAATATAGGGTTATCTTTTCTGTCTTGGAATGTCATATACAGTGTAAGTGAAATAATGCAGATTTTACTCTTTTCAGTATAGCATTTTTGAGATCCAGGAATGGTGTTGTATATATCTGTGTTTTGTTTCTTTTTATTGTCATTATCCCATTGTACAGAAATACCACCGTTCTAGACATTACCTTGTTGCTAGATGTTCAAATCTATTACAAAGGTACCATGAACAATATGGAACAAATTATCTTGTTGATATATGTTTTTACTTCTCTTGGGAAATATTTAGGAATAGAATCACTGAGCCATATAGTAAGTGTGTACTTAACTTCTTGAGAAACTTCCCAGCTATTTTCTGGAAGATATTTACCAGTTTTTATTCCTACTTAACACATACATGGGTCTCAGCAGCTCCACATCTTTATCAGCAGTCTTAATTTTGACTACTTTTATGGATATGTAGTGATTTTAATTTGTATTTTTTCTGGGAATAACTTTATTGAGTATCTTATCTTGTGCCATTCATGTCTTTTACAAATACTTTCTACCAAATTGTAATTTGCCTTTCATTTCATTATGGCATTGTTGGTAGAGCAGATTTAATTCTGAGGAAGTGTAACTTACCAAAAAATGTTTATTGTTAGTGTACCTCAGAAATTCTTGGGCTGGCCAGATGGCTCAGCGGATTAAAAAGCCTGCTTAGGCAGATGCAAGGACAGGGGTTCAATCCCCTGCGTGTTGTGCTGGCCCTGTCCCCGGGGCACAATGAAACAGTGACTGAGACTGGGCGTAGTGGCACATGTCTATAATCCCAGTGCTTGGGAGGCTGAAAACAGGAGGAACACTGAGTCTTATCTGTGTAGTAAGACCCTGTCGACCCTGTATTAAATACATTTTTAAAAAAGCAATGCTTATCTATCCCAGAGTTGTGAATATTTTCTTCTACATTTTTTATGATTTATATTATTAGCTTTTACATTTAATTCTATGATCAAATGTCAAGTTAAGTTTTGTAAGACCAAGACCAAGTTTCCTTTTTTCCCACATATGGGTATCTAGTTGTCCAGCACCATTAAAAGCCTATCTTTTTCCTTTGACTTAGCTGGGCTCTTTCACCACATCACTGTGGGTCTGCTTCTGGACTCCACTCTGTGTCATCGAGCTATGTGTCTGCCCTGACAGCATTTGGACTTGCAGTGATTATTCCAGCTTTATAAGTCATGAAATCAAATCATCCTCTCATTGCATACTTCTTTTTAAAATATAAGTAAAACTTGTCAATACTCCAGTGGGTTATACTTCCATATACATTTTAGAATAAACTAGTCAATTGCTATAAAATGCCTACTGGGATTTTGATTGGGGTTACATTATAGGCATAGGTTATCTTGGGGGAGAATTAGCCTCTTACTAATAATACTGACTGTTCTAATTCATGAGTCTAGCTTGTCTCACCATCTGTTTTAGGTTGTCTTAAACTTTTTTCATAAATATTTTCCAGTATTCGGTCATTGCAAATTTTGTTATATTCACCCCCAAACATTTCATATGATTATAACTGATATTTATTAAGTTTTGATTTCCAATTGTCCACAACTAGAATGTAGAAGTACAATGCATGTTGATACAGTGACTTGGTATCCTGTCTCTGCCAAATGTCCCTAATAGTTTTCGCTTCCCTTTTGTCGATCCACTTTCCAAATACATGATCATGTCATCTGTAAAGACCTTGTAGTCAGCGTCACTCACCTTTGTCCTTTTAATTTTGCAACAAAACCGCAAAGGTTTGTTCTTTCTCTTCTGCTCTGAGGTTCTGGATTTTGTTGTTTTCCATAGACTGCATTGTTTTATTAATACAACATATTTGAAAACTTAAAACAGATACTGAAATCATAGGTATGGTATTCAATACATAGATTTGTAACTTTTTGGTTTCTCACTATTTCTTCTACCTGACCATTATCTCCATGTCTTGGTCACCTTTGTGTCCTGAGAGCCAAAAAATGCTGCACACTCAAAAGTCACCTAGTCAATATTCGTCAAGTAAAGAAATGGTACTTTAAGATTCATTCAGAACAGATTATGTTCTACATCCTGAAGAAGTTGCTAAAAAATCAATTTCCTTTGGCTACAACGTTTTCGTTTAAATGATATTAGTTCTTGGCACCATCTTTGTACTACACTTTTTGTCATCTATCAGGTGGCTATTTCTGAATATCATTTTTCTAGTCCTCTTTACAAACTTGCTTCAATTATAGCAGCCATTTAACAATTACTGAGCTGTGGCTGCACGTTGTTGGAAAAGCCTCATACAGTAACTCTGTGGGGACTTTTTGCTTACAGGTCTATTTCTTAGGCCTGAGATAAGGGACTATAAGATGGAAAAAAATATGGAAGACTTAATAATTTTTAAAATTTTAGATATCTGTACTGCTTCTCAGTGAGATATCTTAGGAAATGAATATGAATTGACACATGGTTAGAGAAGGCATCAGAGCAAGGCAATGCATATCCCCTAAATTCTCCTAAATTACGTTGCTGGAAGAGATATGAACCTAAGATGCCAGGAGTTTTGAAGCTGTCATTGTGCCTAACTCAAGTGGAGATAGAAAGAATTATGATAGGATGACTGGATTAAGCAGCTTCTTTTAAAAAGGGTTATCTTGAAGGCAAAGAACTTCATTAATGTGACCTGAATGAGTGTTAAAGGAATTACACGGAAAATTCCTTAAATAAAAATTTATTTAATTTAAAAAATCACTGAAGCCATTAAAACCTTAGAAGTTTTTCTCAGTCCACAGCAACTTTCACCCCCTTTTCTTTATCCCTCATCTGAGCACTTTGGCCAGACAGCCTCGGACAGTCATTTGCATGTTCTTGGAACTGACAGCTTTTCCAACACAGCCAGTTCTGAAGTGTTGGTTCTGTTGAATTACAGTATAGGATCTCTGCTGCCAGAGGGTTTAGAGGAGAGGTGGGAACACGAGGTTCTGCCAGTACTTAGATTGATTTCACCTGACTCAGAGCCAGCTTTCTAAAATTAACTGTGGCTAAAGCTGAGAAGGCTTTTAAAAGGCCTTTGGTGGGACTGTTCCACAAGGCCACCAGATGGATCTGTTCTTCCACAAAGAAGACAATTTCCACTGAGATGCCCTCCCTGTCTGTAACCAAAGGGTCTGTTTGTACTGAGCTAGTGCGATCCCAGCAAACCTGCCCTGCTCTTTGCAGAAAGCCAAGTTTCTTACTCAACATGCTTTTGCTCAAGTGTTTTGAAGAATCCCAGGGGTCCTAGTATGAGGTTATCCCGAGAGGGTATCCCTGTCACTTAATGGTGCTGGTACTGAGCTGTGGCTTCCCATTCTCAGGCCAAACACACTGGCAGAGGTGTCTCTCTCCTCTCTTCCATCCTGCAATCACCTATGAGGTAAAGAAGGAAGGGAATGTGAAGGAAGGGCACCTCCTTTGGTTTTCCTACTCTTATAGAGCAGTGTCCCAAATGAAAGTTATTTGGGCTTTCAGCAGTTATAACAGTTAATGCTTTGTGAACTTATAGTTAGGTTTTTTTATTAGCTCCTCAGAAATTATTGGGCTTGGGGTGGATGAGCTCAAGATGTTAATTTTTGATTTTTATAAGCTACAAATATTTATGCATAAATACATTTCTCCAATGCCACATTTTTATACTCATCACTTTAATGACTTCTAATATGTGATAAAGGGTGATATTTCCATTTCTAAATTATTTTCCAGTTATTTGCCATTTATTTTTTTCTTGCTTTCTGTTACTATATACAGTTTTAATGCATGATTAAACATTAAGTTCTGCTATGTTTATTTAAAATTATTTCTCTGGAGTAGACTGCTTAGACTAGAATGTGTGGGCCTAAGTGTACCTGAATATTTTTATGCTTCTTGAATCAATCACCAAACTGATAGAAGAAAGGTCCATTTAGAGAGAAAGATAACTTCCCAGTTATTACAATCTAGGCATCTGTGTACTCTAATACCTGAGCACATGGATTATGATAGTGAGCAAATTAATAAACTAGAGGAAGTACTAGTGGCTCCTGGAGAATTTCAATCAAGCCATCATATACAGATCATACTGAGCTTGGCTTCCAGAACCAGAACCAGTACACTGTGAGAACTCAGGTCATGGATATGAAAAAGCAAACAGACCTAAATCTACCTGTCTCTCTGGAAGAGTTACTTCCTTGGCCTTCCTGTGCCAGAGCTCATCGTGTGGTTCCTTCTAGCATCCACCAGCTGAGGAGCAAAGTGTCTGAGGAACATGATGTTCTCAAGAAGAAAGAGATGGAATCAGGGCCCAAAGCATCCCATGGCTATGGAGGGCGCTTTGGAGTGGAAAGAGATCGAATGGACAAGGTAAGTTGGAAGGGAGAGATTTGCTTAAAAAGATAAATGAATAAATGATAAACTCACTCATTTGTTGGTTTTTGGCTTAGAGCTTGTCAAAAGTACAGTATTCATTTGGGATTTAAAATAGAGTATCTACATGTTATTTGTATCAATTTTTTTTTTTAAATCTCAGTGCATAAGATGTAGATGACAGAAAATGGAGTCAAGATCTCAGAGCTGCTGGCCCTCTGCAGTCTTAGGAACACTAACTGGAGAGGTGGAGGTGGAGGTGGAGGCCTTTAGAGTCATTTGATGCTTTTTAAAATGTATCGCATCTATGATGCTACTTTGCTTGCTTGTTTGTTTATTGTGTTTTTAGTGATTGTTTTGCATATATATATCCCATTATATGTTGAAGAAAAGTTCAGAATTCACCTCTAAACTTTGATAGCCATACACAAGCAAAGAGCTGGAACAAATCACAGCTGTGTTAGTGAAATTCTCTGCAGTCATGGTCTCCATCCAGTCAGTGCCTTTAGATCTCCATCAAATCGCTCATCTCTTTTTGGTGGCCTTGTTTTAGGTCTGTTTTTGTTCAGCCTACCTGCTCTTTTATTTCCTGTGGTCCCACCCGTCCTCTGGGCATCTCTGAATGGTGGCTCCCTAGTGGCACTGGAGAAGAAGTAGGGATGTGCAGGGCTACAGAAAACATCACCATGCTGTCCTGTCACACATGACTTGGCACCATCGCCAGGGCTACAGACCTTACTCAGAATGGCATTTTTTCTTTGTATGCTAATAACATTTCCTGCTAACATCCCACGTATTTCTGTATATATTTTCTCCGAGGCTGGCTTTGCCTCTTGCCTCACTCCCTTCTTGCTTTTTCTCAGAGTGCTGTGGGCCATGAGTATGTCGCAGAAGTAGAGAAACACTCTTCACAGACGGATGCCGCCAAAGGCTTTGGGGGAAAATACGGAGTTGAGAGGGACAGAGCCGATAAAGTAAGTGACAACCTCCTTCAACCCTGTGGGATTTAACAAGACCCACCCTTGAGGAGAAGTAGGCACACATTTTGGGGTAAAAGACAGTGGATGTTGGAGTCAGGCACCATCCCAAGGATGGTTCCTGTGATTTTTCTCAGCAAGTTCCCTGGTGCGAACATTGAAGGCAACATGCTGAACTGAAGGCATTGGTTTAAAGGAGGGCACAGACTGGGCATGCAGCTCAGCAGGAAGGCATTTGCCTAGCACAGGTGAGACCTTGGGCTCCATCTCCAGCCTACAAAATAGGAAGAAAGAAAGGCAAATGGCTTCAAACTTTGTTTGAATAAGTCTTTCTGCAATTTATTGGTTCATTATCATATCTGTACACACAAAGCAAGAAGACAGAATTTCCAAAATTCTTCTTCTTTCCCTTATATCAAAACCTTATAAATAAATGTTTATGCTTTCTAGGGAAACACAGAGGTCAGTTTAAATATTAGTGGCATGGAAGCAAAATATCAAGTAAGCAATTAGGATTACAAATTTTTGGAAGGTAAGAGTTACTTTTCATAGGATTTAGCATCAATGTCTAAAGTCCAGGTGATTATAGACTCCTTTGTACAAGAGTGTCTTAAGGAGAAAATATAGTGCAGTGTGATTACAGGACCATGATAAGATTAGGTTCGCTGATACCCACAGTTCCGCAGTTACTAAATCAGACTCTGAATTCATATTTCATGGTACAGCCTGATGTCCTTTCTTCCACAGTTGCACAATGAGAAAGAACATCTCCCTCACAGTTGGCTGAGGGTTTCTTTTTCTTTTTCTTTGTCATTTACCAGCCTTTGCTAATTTGCTGATACTGAATCCGTAAAGCAAAGTGCGAGAAGTTAATTGTTTGGAAATCAAACCCAGAAAGTTGAAAACATGCTACTAGGAAAGGAAAATGCAGAAAATAATTTCAAAGGCAACGATAGAATGCTACCAACTAAATCATCTAAACAGTTGTCATGTAAATCAAGAAACAATACTGCTTAGCTTCCAACATGCAAAATCCTAGACTCTCTTAGAGCCTCCTTGCTAGTGAACCCATGAAGATGCTGCTACACAACTATGAACGAGGAGGTGGAGTTCTTGTCTAGAATTGTCTGTACCAACGGCCTGGGCTCAATGCTCTGTAGCCCACTGCCTGACACAAGCCACCCTGACTCTGTTTCTACATAAGCCCAGACCTGCCCCTGAGCTCCTGTGCACTACCTGGGGCTGAGCTGGGAGGAAGGGAACATGGGGGAGAGGGCCGTCAGCTCTGACTCTAACCCGTTCTCTGTCCTCTTCTCTGTAGTCAGCAGTGGGCTTTGATTACAAAGGAGAAGTAGAGAAGCACGCATCTCAGAAAGGCAAGGATGTGTTCTTCAGCCTCGCCGGCCCCTGGCCACTGCCCTGCTAAGACCTCACCTTCCAGCAGCCTCCCTCAGCTTCCCTGGGTTCCCCTGCTCAGCCCCTACTATTTTATTTACTCCTCATTTCCAGTTGTGCTTGCTTTTTTCTTTCTCCTTTATTGCTTTCTATGAGACTGGTAAAGTTTAATTAAAAAATAAGGCACTTTTATTCTAGGTTACTCTTATTTATTTATTTATCTATTTATTTTTGGCAGAACCAGGGATTGAACTCAGGCCCTTGTGCTTGCCAGGGAAGCACTTAGTCTACTGAGCTATCTCCCTGGCCCCCTAGGTTACCCTTAAAGTTTAACATGTATCTCTGATTTAAATTTAAAGCTAATCAGTGGTTCTTCCTGAATGATACAGGAGATGTAAAATATTTTAACTGCATTTTTTTCCTACCACATATTCTTTCTGTGTTCTGTGTTGTTGCTGTCTGATATATTGGTTATATCACATTTTTAAGCTGTCCCTCAATTATTATTACATAGTGAATGCTTATTTAAACTGATGAAAAATTAGGTTCCTACTTCACTTTATTGTTTCCCCTTCGCTTTTTCCATTTTCTTCTTGCTAAAATATATAATTTGTTAATTCTTTACCTTGAACCATTCTGTAACATTATTTTCCCTTTATCACTTTGAAAATATTTCATTTCTCTGGCATCTCGATTGTGCTGAGCTAATCATCTTTCTTTGTAGATAACGTAACTTGTCTCTGCCTTTTCAAAAACTTTTAAAGATTTTTGTTTGGTCTCTGATATATGTTTAAGTTTTTTTTTTTTAATTCTATTATTCAATTAGAGACCTATTACTCCTCTCCTGTATCAGGCAGGAGCTTCATTGTGGAGAGTTCTCAGGCATTTTCTCTTTGAATAGTCCCTCCTCTCTCAGGCTTCATTCCTTGTCCTGGAACTCTCGTTAGATGCATATTAGATCTTTGCATTTGCTTCTCAATAGCTCTTAATTTCTCTGCTTTATTTTCATCTCTTTACCTCTTGCGCTGTGCTTTGGGCAATTCTTTCAGGCCTATGATAACTTCACTATCCCCCCCACCAGATATGGCTAAGTATTGTTAAATTTCTTGTGAAAATTTTAAGTTTTGGGTATTTTCATTTCTTTAAGTTTCACTTTGGTTCTATTGTAAATCTGTTCTTTTTCCATAAGGTCTTATTGTTTTCATAATAAGACATTTTACCTTCTTTAAGCTCTTAATTGTTTTAAGCATACCCATTTTATAGTTTATTTCAACTATTATACCATTTGCACTTCTTGGGGGCTAATTCTGTTTGATTAACCTGCTTTCCTTTGTAGTTACTTGTTTTCTCATTTTTGCTTGTGAACTTATTTCAGTGGAGACAGGGATATTTGTTTCATGGGAATTTCATAGATGTTGAGTTGGATGTGTGTCTACTGTAAAGAAATTTGGCTTCTACTCATGGCCTGGATCTAGTGCTGTTAATAGTGATGCTCCATTTTTTTCTTTATTGAGAACAATATTTAAAATACATAAAGTCTATCTGGACTTTGCTTTCTCTTAAGTAAGCTCATTAGCATATTTTACTTTTCAAGAACTCTGTCCATTTTACCTATGTTGTTTAATTTATTGGCATAAACTACTTATATGTCAACTTCTATAAGGTATAGCGCCTGAAGTTGCCAGATCTCACAATTAAATTTTCCCCTATCAAATGTTGGACAAGCTGCCAGCCCCTTCGCCATTTCCTGGATGAGGAACTACTTCTCTAGAGCTCTTTCACAGGACTGGGCAGAGTCTCGTTCCTAGCTCCCCACTGCCCTGCCTCGCGCATTAGTGTACAGAAATTAGAAACCCAGACTTAGGATCATAATCCCTATTCATTCAATTTGGAGTTTAAAGCCCTCTCACATTCCCTGTAGTGTTTCCTTACAGTTACCCACACACATAGCTTGCCTGGTCTCGATCTTTCTGGAGTCGAGATTTTCTTTTATTTTTTTGAGTTTCACTATTTAAAAAGGTATACGTTTTAGCTAACATCTCTCTCTTTATATCAGAGTAGAGGAAAGGCATATTTCATATATGTATATACACCTGTCCTTTTCTGTCTGCTCTCTTCCAACACTTTCTGTACTTGTCTCTCCCTTGAAGAGAGGTGGGAAGGGGTGCTGAAATGGTCCTCTCCAGATATGGAGGAGGCAGGGAAGAGAGGAAGTGAGGGAGCAGTTTTCAATGAAGCAGGCCCATGTCTGGGGCCTGCTCTCCCCAGACCCCTGTCACTCTGCCTCCTGACTCCTCTGTTCTCCAGCACCTTCCTGTGGGCTGAGGGTGGCTGCCTGAGGGTGGGCTCTCATGACTGCCCCTTTAACTAGATTACTCTCGGGGCTTTGGTGGCCGTTATGGAGTGGAGAAGGATAAAAGGGACAAAGCTGCGCTGGGATATGACTACAAGGGAGAGACGGAGAAACACGAGTCCCAGAAAGGTGAGTGGGGTTGGGAGGAGGGAGGCCACAGAGGCGCCAAGGGCACTCCTTCCTTCCTTGCTGCAAGCTGAGCAGGGTCCAGAAGGGGATGGAAGGGGCAGGTAGGGGGGACAGTGGCAGGAAGAAAGGCAGGCAGAGGAAGGAGGCCGAGAAGGGCTCTGAGGAAGGGGTGTGCTTTGACTTGAGTCTCCCAGGCATCACTTCACAGAGGGACACAGGAATTGGCTGGAGGGCCGTCTTTTCTTCTCCTATTTCTTCTTTTACATTTATTTCTTTTTTAAAATTAATTTTACTGAGAAACAAATAGCAGTGAGACAGTTTCAAAACTGATTAATAGGACAGTTTCAATAATTAATACATTGCATATTGTTGTCTTCGTAGTGGTTATTCATAGTACAAGATGCAGACATGATATCCTGTCCAAATACTATTAGCACACATCTTTCTAATCATTGAATTAAGAGAAAGTAGCTGTATATCTATCCTAACTATTCTGTATACACAGATACAAAATGGTCCTTCATTTGTATCCCCTTTTTTTGTTTAGTTTTGTCAGAGAAGGCTATTCCATTGCCATTTAAATATTGTGGGTGCGTGTATTCAGCAAAATAATCCAATATATCCCAGCAGTCCATAATTGTAGTAGGTTATCTGTAGGACTGTATATTTACTTCTTTCTCCTTGTCTCACTTGTCTCCTTTTGTGTTTTTCTCCCTCCATTTTTCTTGTCTGCTCTTTTACTTTTCTTCTTCCCATCCTTTTTCTTCTCTTTCCACCTGTGCCTCTATCTTCTGATAATCACTTCTTCCCATATCTCTGTCCTCCACATTCCTGTCTTCCAGTCTTTTTTTTTCTTACTGCTCTCTCCTTCCACCCATTCCCAGTATTTTAACCTCCTGTGTGACTCTCAAAACTTTCTTTCCTGTAGATTATGCCAAAGGCTTTGGCGGCCAGTATGGGATCCAGAAGGACCGAGTGGATAAGGTAAAGCACCAGAACATCTGTGTCTCAAGAAGTCTTCCCAACTTTCAGGGAAGCACACAGACAACAGTGAGAGGCAGTGCTGGGGAAGGTGAGGCAGTGTGCTGCTCACCCTCAGCCTAGCCCACTGGAGCCCTACATTCCCATTGACTGCCTTCCATATCTAATGGACCTGAATTCCACAGCCTGAGCTTTAACTGAGAAGAGTGTAGGGCAGCAAGGAGAGGCACAGAGGAGAGATAAATGCCAGCAAAAGGTGATGTCAGATGTGCAGTTTCCTGGATTGCTTGGCATTGTTTGATATGGTCTTTAATCTCTTTCTACCCCATGAAATTTTTGTCTTATGCGTTAGCTGCTCCTCCCCCATTAGCTAGGGCTTCTGTGACATTGTAGGCAGCTGGGCTTGGAGACATGAGATTCTAAGTTTGCTGAGCTTTTAGAAAGGAGGACTGAACCTATCAGGTGAGAATATCTTTACCCTTCTCTGTTACAAAGCAAACTTGGAGAACCTGTACTACTGTTGAGCAGCAAATATTCAAGTCATGTCTCCTACAGTGGCCTCAACATCCAGTATTGCCTTCCAGGTCACACCCACTCCTGTTCCGCTTCCACACCACACATAACTTACTGTTCTCTTACCTGCAGAGTGCTGTTGGCTTCAATGAGATGGAGGCCCCAACCACAGCTTATCAGAAGACAACACCCATAGAAGCGGGTAAGCCTTTCTGATTCCCTCTCTCTGTGACCGTCAGCCTCCTCGCCCTTCCTTTCTCCTGAGACTTAGGTTAGCTGAGACTAACTTGATCTCCATACTCATATTCCCAGATTCCATCTCCTAGAAAAACCAGACCAAGTGGACAGAGAATGGAGGAGTGTTGAGAAACAAAATGGGAGCAAAAGTCACAAGGACAGAGGGAAAGAAAACTACTTGGGAAAGACAGATGAGGTTGGAACTAGGGGAGGGGCAGAGGATGCTGGTGGTTAGAGGAGATACAGATTTAAGGAAGGTGGGCAGGAAAGAATGCTGGTTAGGGCACCATGGCTTATAATTTAGGAAAGACAACAGTTTGAAGTCACACAGACTGGTCAAGTGGAAACCACCTGAGCCTCAGGGCCAAAGCGTCCTCCCATGCTCCTCCATCACTACCTCTTTACCTTTGCCTCCAGGAGTCCTCACCCCACTTCTCTCTTCCTGGTTATTGACTGATTCTTCTTCCTTCAGACCTCCCTACTCTTTCTTCAGACACTCCTACTCCAAGACAACTCTAACTTGCCTACATCTGCAGCTTCCAGTGGTGCCCGAGGGCTGAAGGCAAAGTTTGAGTCCATGGCTGAGGAGAAGAGGAAGCTGGAGGAAGAGGAGAAGGCACAACAGATGGCCAGACAACAACAGGAGCGAAAGGCTGTGGTGAAGATGAGCCAGGTAGTTCAGCAGCCAGCAGCACCTGTGGAAGAGCCAGCAGTGCCAGCCCCACCGCCTAAGAAAATCTCCTCAGAGGTAAGTACTTGGTCTCCAGCATCAGTACCCAGGATCCCTTGCTCAGCTCTAAGGGGTTCAAGTCATTGGCAGAAAATAAGGCAAAGGCTTGTCCTGTGGCAAACAGTGTGCTGTACCTGTCTTCAGGAAGATTCATTCTGACTGGGTAATTGATCTCATATCCTATACTGTCAGGAAAAAAAACCAACAGGATTTATATAGCACAACTGAAGGCAGGTCACCAGCCTCTGAGGCTGCAGGAACTGAGGAATGAGCTGTAACTTCAGGTTGGAGGTGATCTTGAGGGATGAATTCCATCTGGATAGGCAGAGAACAAAAGAGTTTTCCTCCTAAGTGTAAGAGTGAAGACAGTGAGTGCTTGCTAGAAAGATACTTTATTCTCCACAGGCCTGGCCTCCAGCACAGAGCCACCCACCACCACAGCCTGAGCCTGTGAGAACCATCAGGGATTGCCCAGTGCCCTCCCTGCCCATGAGGCAGGATCCCCTAGAGGTAAGCAAACCCTAAAACTTCTCTGCCTGCTACTGTAGTCCTCATGTCTTAGGAAGGTGTAGGGTAAGCATCCATGCTAGTTTTCCTGGGACTATTATGGTCTTATCCCTGAAAGTCTTGCATTCTAGAAAACTCTTCTCCACCCTAGACAAAGTAGAACAGCTGATTTTCTCAGCCTCATTCCAAAATTCTTTAGTTTCCATGTTTTCCTGTTCTTTCAAGGACTCTGACTTACCTCCCACCCCACTCATACTTTTAAACCTTTCTCCCGTCGACTGCAGTTAGGTGTTTTGAGGTTGGTGTGGGAGAGGCTGGGAATGCAGATGGGATGAGTGCAGGACTTTGTTCGTGAGGGGAGGCTCTCAGGGGAGGGCATAATCAGTAGCACTGTAAAGGTCACGGGGTCCTAGCAGTTACCCACAGAGCCTCCTCATTCTCCTGTTGAGTGGGAGTCACTTGCTCTACTCTGTCTCTTTTCAGGACAACGAGGAGCCCCCAGCTCTTCCCCCTAGGACTCCAGAGGCCTTCCAAGTAGAGGAAGAGCCAGTGTATGAAATAGAGCCTGCACTTGAGCCTGAGCCCGAGCCTGAAAATGACTATGAGGATGTTGAAGAGATAGTCAGGCATGATGAGGAGGCCGAAGGGGACTATGAAGATGTGCTGGAGCCTGAGGATCCTTCCGCTCCCTCCACACAGGCTGGTGAGTGGTGGTGGTGGCAATGGAGAGAAGCATATCCTGGATTTGGTCTAGGAGACCAGAAGAAGAGGAGCAGTTTCCACATTTCCCAGCAGGATCTGTGTTCACCTTCTCCATGTGGGTGAGACCGTGTTTATTTCTCGTCATGCAGGATCATTGGACAACCAGGCTGGGGCTGCAGGGATCTCCGCTGTAGCCCTATATGATTACCAAGGAGGTAAGCTTGGAGGGTCTGGAGCATCTGGGTGCCCGGAGGCTCTGATAAAGGGTAGGGTGGATCCTGAGCCAGGGTTGGGCTTGGCTCAGCCTGAAGGGAAGGGCCAGGCCCATTTCCTTCCCTGAGGCTTAGGGTGGGTAGGATGAGATAACGGAGTGATTCCCAGCTAACCATCCTATGCCCTCTCCTTTTCCTCCCCAGAGGGAAGTGACGAGCTTTCCTTTGATCCAGATGACGTCATCACTGACATTGAGATGGTGGATGAGGGCTGGTGGCGGGGACAATGTCGTGGTCACTTTGGACTCTTCCCTGCAAATTATGTCAAACTTCTCCAATAACTGGCCCTCAAAGTCTACAGCAACTGCGAATTCCCATGTCCAAAGTGGCTGCCTCCACCCTAAACCCATTCCTGCTGCAAGTGTCTGGCAGATGCCATGTGTTACCTGTTGCTCTGCCCAGACTTCTCCCCACTGCTTTATTAAGGACTGGGGGCAGCATGAAGATGGGGGTTCTCCTCCCCTGCAGGGTCCTATCATGCATGAGCTAGAGGACATTTATCTTATGGTCCTGGTTCCTTCCCTGAGAATGTCCCAACTACTATCCCAACTTGGTCTCTCCCTTGCAAGCACCAGGCTCTCCAATTTGCTCACCTCAGAAGGTAATCTAGATTGTCTGGCTTGCCTGCTTGTGATTTAGCCCACCTCTCTTCCCTACAGTTATAGCTCTGAACCTTTTCTCTGTTTGGCCCTAATGTTGGAAATAAAGTAGGACTACCATTCACCTCTGTGCAGACATAAGCAGTACTTTCTGTGCAACCTTTGATGGCCCTGAACCTTGTGGCTTCAATTCCTCATTCCTCTTCAGGTACATCCAGGGGACACCCTCTTACCAATGCCTGTCCCCTTGCATCCCCCTGGCACCCTGAAAGTCAAGGGTGGGGACTTTTCCTTTGGCTGCACTTTCAATGCAGCCCAAAACAGACCAGCCCCCCATAGCATAGCAGTAAAGTGTGATAATAGGACTGAACTGGGTGGTGTCCACATCAAAGCCATTCAACTTCTACTGGCTTTGGCAGCTCTGTGAGATAGGTCATCTGCCTGGGCTTAGTGACCACACTTGCTTAGCATGTAGTAACTCTCAAGGAAGAAACACAAACTGTAGTTTGATCAACAGAAAATACTAAAGCTAAAGAAGAACAAACTCTGGTGAGGTTAGGGGGGATTTAGAACCAGACAGTGGCTTTTGCCCAAGAAAGTCACGGCTCCCTTGTAGCTGGGTGACGGAAATCAATGTCCAAGAAAGAAAGTGGATGGAGGAATTCCTAGAAGCTTCTATGTGGTCCAAAGCCAAACCAAACAGGAAGAGAGGTGAGGAGAGCTGCATGGCCAGGGATGGGAAAGAGCAAATCACCAACCACAATCTGAGAGTGAGGGAAAGTGAGAGGCCAGGAACAGGTGGGATCATCAAGCCTCAGTCTATTGTGCTCAGTCAGCTCCAGCACAGAGATAGGAGGCCCTGGAGAACAATCAAAGTAAAAGCCAGGGATCTGGAGTGGGGCACCTTTCACTGGCAGGACATAGACATTTGTGCTGTAAGCAGTAATGACAAGAAGATACTGGGACCAAGGAAGGACAGGGATTAGAGGCCGAGACCCAAAGTTGTTCGGGGCTGCATGAAACTGGTGAGGTGACTGTATCTAGAGTGCCCCAGGCTCTAGGTTTGCCTCTTGGTATTTCTTCAACACACACACACACACACACACACACGCACACACACCTTGGTTTCAACAGTGACTTTTATGCCAGGGAATCACAGCTCTGTCCCTAGACCAAACTCACAAGATTTACCCACTTAGCCTTTCTGAGTGCAAAGCAGCTTTATTTCTTAGAGAAGCATTGGGGCTTCCAGGACAAGGAGACAGGTTGTCACAGACATGTGCAATCTCATTTTTCATTTCAGTTGGTTTGACAACACACATAAACGAGGGATTTACAGTGATTTTCTTGGTACATTTCCAACTCCCACTTTGCTTTTCATGTTCTCTTCATAAGACACGAACATCTTTACCAGATCCCTGTGCTGCCAAGGACCCAGGGCCTCTCTGGCTCTGTTCTGCAGAACTCGCCCCCACACCTGGCTGGTCTCAGCTCTGGCTTCCTTGCTTGGTGGTGATTCTCCTCACAGGCTCTGCTTGTACTCAGCTCCCAACCCAGCCTTTACTCCTGCACTATACTAAGGATCAAACTCAGAGTCTTGCACATGCTAGACAAGCCACTGAGCTACATCCCCAGTCCTATAAATTCCTATTTTAAGACAAATTCTCACTAAGTTGCCCAGACTGGTCTGAAATTTGCAATCCTCCTGCCTCAGCCTCCAGAGTGCTGGAATTACAAGTGTGCACCACAATGCCCAACTCCTTAAAGGCTTCTTAATCTGAAATCACAGCTAGTTGTCTTGCCTCTGTCAAATGACATTTGCTGCTCACTAAAACATCACCTCAGGAAGCAAACCATTTTCTAACCCAGCCTCTTTGAAAGGGTCTTCTTTTGCTCCATCTTCCCTTGCCTCATAAAATTCACTTGTTTCTAGGGACTAAGGAGAGCTGCGATAGTCTATTTTCCAGCAATGCAGACAATTAGAAATCATATAGAATGTGTCTGGTGCTCTTGATCAATGTGGTACTGCTCTGAAGGCAGCAGTTAGGAGAGGAAAGCACAGCTGGAAGTGCGCAGACATGGAGCAGGCATGAGCGGCATCCTATCCTGACTGCCCTCCTGGCCTTGGGCTGTCCCAGCCACCCAGGCTGTGTGGGAAAGCCCCTGGCCTCCTGTCTGTCTTCAGTGTCTGGCTTCTCACTCATCCAATGAGCCTTGATGCTCATCTTCCTTTGAGAGTCTGGAGCTCCCTTTCCCCTTCCTCTCTTTTACATATGTATGATGTACAGATCCCTTAGATTCTTATTCCTCTGTATAGGAAAGGCCAGATTAAAGACCCAAGGAACTAATGGGTGAAGAAATCTCTTCCTTCCATCCCACTTCAATGTCTAGTAGCTTCCAGTTACTCATCTTCACTGAACAGAAAACCTCAGATCACATTCTAGTGATAGTTTTTAAAAATGACTTGTATACATATGCAAAATGTAAATCAATAAATATTAAGGAAGACAGAATAACATTACCAATGTACCAAGTGGCACAAGCTAATGAAAAACATGAGGATACTTCTGGTCTGGGACTTGCTGGATTCTGCGCCTTGGGACTCTCCTCAAAGGCACAGTCTACTTCTTCCATGACAGTTCTGGTCACAGTGTAAGTACCAGGCAACAATAGCACCCAGAAATGCTTGAATGAGAATCTTTCATTGGCTAAATTCCTTTTCTCTGCTTCCTTATAATGCCTGTCCTTTTTTTGCCCTCTTTCTCACTTGCTTTAGGACTGCTGGAAAAATGGCACCAATTACTATGAGAGGGATACAAACACAAGACAAATAATTCAAACTTCCTGGCTTCAGTCAGACCTGGGAAGGAGCAGAGAGAATATATTCTTGATGTGGCTTAAGGACATGAAGTCATATCAAGCAAATCAGCCCCATCTGGTTCCCAACTTAATATTACCAAACCTACATGAATAAGAACTACATAGCCAATTTCATTAGCTTTGTGATACTAGATTGTACTGTGTTAAAAAAAAAAAAGTGTGCCCTAACTTCTTGTCACTAATACAACATCCTTAGGGCAGTGATTGTCAACCAGGAGACACTTTACTCCCAAAGGACATTGTGCAGTGTCTGGAGACATTTTGGTTGCTCATTGCAGGAGTGATGCTCATATCTAATAGACAAAGGCCAAGCAAGCTACTAGATATATTATAATCCATGGGACAGTCCATTACAACAGTTATCCAGTTTACAATATCACTAGTTCCAAGGCTGAGAAACACTGCTGTAGATGTTGGTTTCTATTGTACTTTTTAAAATTTCTCTTCTCATGAATATTCAGTTTGTTTCCAAAAATAGCAGGACCATTTACTTTTGACAGGCTGAAGGCATGACCAGTAACTGGTAGGAGCAATTTCAGGAAACCACTATATTCATGTCTTCCTTTTCCAAACCCCAAACATAGTAGTATCTCAGGGTGTCTAGGATGTGGTGACTGATGCCACAGAACTTTGGTGGACTTTGACAAAAGTGTGATATCCTTGGGTCACCCTGTGCAATTTGGTGTAGCACTGAGGTTGGTGCTGTGAACTGACGTCATTTCTGATGACATAGGGTGACATGAGGCTATGCCTATGCTATTCCTATCCCAGGCCTAGAATGTTCTTCTAAAGAAAGAACATCCTTGACACCTAAGTTATTATTAATATGTTGAGAAATAGATATGTGATTTTGATCCCAATTTTTCCATAACTACAGTGTGTCCTCTGGACCCTTTGTAATTTTTCAAGTCTTCTGTGTATTGTCAAGATTTTATAGAATAGATTCAGTGACCTCATTATTGCCTCCATCCTTTGGTCTGTGATGTCCTCCAGGCAGCTATATTTGATTAGCATGAGCTGAGACCATCTAGGCTTCAAAGGTAAGGGAACTGAAAGAAGCCCTGGAATTAACTGGAAGACTGACCCACCTTCTGGCTGGAAGATAACTCTCTGCAGCTCAGCTGCTGTCCTTCATTGTGTGCCCATGAATTTGCAAGTGCTTTATAAATGGAAAAAGCTCTCTGTAAAACCACAGGCTTGTGCTGCTTATGAAATCTCACTATTGTCTCATTTCCTCAAGATTTGGGTTCATGTTCCAAATGGCCACAAGTTACTATTTTCTCCTCAGATGAAGCCACTTAAGAAAAGAAAAAGACATCAGTGGGACACTGTAGTACAAGCCACAGCTTAGGAAGTTCTTACACCAAGTGCAACTGCTAAGGTTGGAAGGACACTGCATGTTTGAACACACCCAGGAACCCAGACACACAGTTACAGAGGTACGTCCCCAAACCCCACACCATCCTGCTTTCAGCAGCTCCAAGGAGAAGTCCAGGAGTGGCAGCCTCTGCATCTTTAGGTGTGTCTTCCTCGAGGTCTGGCTCTAAAGGTGGAGACCAAGCTCTCCCGAGGCTGCTCGTTGGTTTGGCACATGCTGGCCAAACGAAACGGGTCCTTCTTGTGCTCTACAATGTTGAAAGGACAGGCCTTCAGGTGTTCAGACATGGAAGTGACTTCATTAAACTCCCAGCTCTTGATTTTGGAGAACAGGCTGCTGAACTGCCAGATCTGTTGGGAAAGACAAAGCTCAAAGATAAACACCTGGCTATGCCCTCAGTGCGCAGGTTTAACGCCCGTGGGAAGGCTTCTTTGGGGCTCTGCCTGTGGTGCTCAGCAGCCGCTGCATATACTTGTCAGGTGCTTAGCCTGCACCCGCTCTCCAGCTCCCCTCCCAGTTAATCATCTGCCCAGCCATCTGCCCATGTTTGTGTAATGATCGTGCTGGCCCGTGTCCTCCCCTGCTCTCCACTGGAGCTAGAGTAGACACAGCTTGATACCAGGACAACTGGTACCAATGAGACTTGACTCTGGAACTTTTATTTGAGATATCAGAAATCAGATTATTTTCTCCTCTGTATTTGAAGTGGGAAACTATTGTTCAAAAAGGAGCCAGCAGTCACCAGGGACTACCATGGAAGAACAGTTGTAGAATGCAGCCAATATTGATAAGGAATAGTTTTTAAAAATAGGAAGATAAAGCCAATTGGGGGTCATTTTTGAACTGCTGAGTCAAACCTTACCTGAAGCTGATATCTTTGGATCTTAGTTATACTAGCTAAAAAAACAAAACAAAACAAAACAAAAACCCTCTATATACTTCAGGCTAGATTTCTATAGGTTAAGAGTAAAAGTATCCTAACTAATAAGAGTCTCACTAGAATAGGAACCACCCCCCAAAATACTATTCCCTGAGTCTAGTACCCAAAGTACTCTCTGGTCTCTGTTCTCCTGGAATCGGCTGAAAAGTTACTAGTTTTAAAATCTGGTTTTAAGAGTAGACATAACCTGATGTCTTTTAAAGCTGTCTACTTCATCTTTAGTTTTTTGTTTTGTTTTATTTTCTTTGTATAATAAAGTATTTTCTGGGAACATAAGACCACTTTCTTATCCAAGGTGCCTGTAACATCCTTTCTCAGAGTAAATATGTTGGTAATATGAACTATGTATATATGATATCTATTGAGGTCAATAATTCTATTAGTTCAATAACTATATAATCTTTCTAATATGAGGGTGTTTGCAAATTGGCATCTGAGAGAGTTGTTTGCATCAGTTTTACTGATTATATCTGAAACACCTGTCTTACATATTTCTGTAACAGTGTAAGATGTTCATAGGCACCTTGGATATGATTAATTAAAAAATCTCACTTATGTAAAAGTTATAATGTGGTTAAGCAAATAATGTCCAGTTGAGAAAAAATAACAAGGTTTTACTGAAGGGAAAGTCTTTGTTTTAAACCATAGAGTTTCCTGAGAAATGAAATAAGCTGTAGACATGATATCTTGTCTAATTAGTACAAGCCTTTCTTCTCAATGAAGAGAAATTAGCTGCGTATCTATTCTAACTATCTTGTATATACACAATGTATTAATTATTGTAACTGTCCTACTAACCTGTTTTGAAACTGTTTCATTGCTATTTTATCTTTTTTTCTCATTAAAATGAATAAAAGAAAAAAATAAGTAAGCATTTGAACCAGGGGAAATCAATGGACCAAAGTCATTTACAATTTCAAAATGACTTTCTTAAAGGCCAAAATGGTCTTAAAAAATTAATTGATGTTTGGGGATGTAGCTCAGTAGTAAGGCACTTGCTTAACACATGCAAGGCCCTAGGTTAATCCTTAGTACTGCAAAAATGCAAGCAAAAACAAACACATTAGTTGACATAGGACTGTTGCCCTCTTGTGTCAATCAGGGTTCAAGCAAGAAACAGATGGTACTAGCCAACAGGGTAATTTTAAATAATTTTTAAAAGAAATGACTTTTGTACTATGTGGGCATAATAAAGGAAAGTCATATTGGTCCTCGGAATCCAGAATGAATAGCTGTGTGGAGAGACTCCCGGCACAGCCCTCTTCAGTGGAGGGACATAACCAGTTTACCAGTTCAAAGTGTCATGCAGGAAAGAAACCAGGAGAGCAGATCCCTCAACACTATGCTGCCCTGTCCCTTGCCTCCCATCAAGTGAGCCCTACAGGAAGCTGAAGGGCAAGGGGTCCAGTTGAGGCTACTATACACAGAGAAGCTGGCCTCCAGTAGACAGTGTAGGTGGACAAAGATGTGAGCAAACAGAAAACATTCAGGACACGCAGACAGAAGTGCAGGCACTAGCACATACATTTTCTCCTATTATATTCCCTCGCAGACTGATCTTATGGAGTTGTCATTTGCAGCACATGTACAGATCTCAACAAGAATTTGTCAGATGAATGAATAAAGGTTGACTTACCTCTTTGTGGACTTTCCAGGAATATCCTCCATGGGAATATCTCTTCTTCTTCCATTGCAAGAGGACCATTCCTCTGTCTTGTAACAAAGTGGCACAGATGTTCCTCATCAACGTGGATACTTGGGAGAGCTGGCACAGGCTGATGCTGTCCAAGAACCCAGCGATGTACTGCAGAACCTCCAGGGGCAGGTTGCTCAGGCAATTCTGGCTTTTTCCTCCATGGCCTGAGAACTGGTTCTTCCTTCCCTCGCTCAGCTCTGGAGCAACCTCTGGCTTGATGGCAAAAGTTTTAAGCTCTTGACTATAAATCACTTTTGACTTTTGCCCTGGAGGACGGAAATGGTTTTGAACAAATGTACATCCCAAGTAGGCCAGAGGGCAACGATGCTGGAACCAGCCATTGAGGCCTGACTGAATGTCTGTGTGGACGTTCTTGAAGTGCAGGGGAAATTCATCTCTTCTGAAGAATTTGTTGCAGGTGAAAGTAAAGGCTGAGCTGCTCTTGTTGTGTCTCCTGGTCACACATTCACTGTGGAGCTCCACATGGAGTCCCCCCAGGTCAGCTGTGCTAAGGAGGTCAGCCAGCACTGTCCCAGAGGAAAACTGTTCTGGCTCGAAGCTGTATGTCTGCGTGGCAAAATCCATGAACAGTCCGTCAATGCTCCTGGATTCAGAGATGACGTGGCCTTTGAGCTCTCTCTCCAAAGCACACTGCAGGGTGGTCTTGATGAGATCTGCTTTAGGCAGGTCCTGTACAGTGATGCCCAAATCCGAAGTATCCACAGCCTTGTGTTCGCTTGGCCTGCAACTCAACATGGCATCTCCAAGCCGAGCTCGCTTGCCACAGTAGCTGACAGGAACTTTGAAGGTGTAAACAGTCTTAACTTCTTGAGCCTCAAGGTTGCCATAAACAAAGTCTCTCTCCTTGGGTGTACAAGCAGGCATCTGACCAAAGTGAATGAGCATCCGCCCATTGTGCACCAGGTACATATTATAGTCCTTTGCATCCACAGCAGTTTTCAGTCTTTCCAGCACACCATCCTGCCAGGGGGCAAGCCCAGTCTTTTCTATGACTGCAGACAAGTTCTGTTGCTTCTGGTCTTCCTGTGGTTCTTTCCCTTTGGCAGCACTCTCTGTGTCTGCCACGTTACTGCCATCAGAACTCTGTTCTCTCCTAGTGCCTTTGTCACTGTTGTTTTCACTCCTTGCTGATGTACTTGCTAAAGCAGAGGCTGCATGCTCTTTGCTGAACATGTTTTCCCACTGATCGAACTTGGCCAGGTCCATCCCTTCTTTGGTTTTGGCTAATGCCTCTCGTTCTTCTTGGCTCAACTCCATCATTTCCCCGTTAGTGGCTGAATGTGATACCAAAGCGGCACCTTCTCCCCCCACTGCTCCCACCAGTTCCTCCCAACTGGCATCACCATTGACAGTGGGTTCCTCCTCATTGGCATCTCTGGTTTCGGGGAATAGTTCTACCATTTTCAAGGATTTGAAGAGGACCTTCTGGTCCTGCAGGGCAAGGGCTGTGTCCAAACATTCCTCACCTGGAGTCTCTTTCATGATGTTCTCATGAAGGATTGTTTCTGAGTCCACATTTGGCCACCGGTTCCATTCCATGGAGCAGCAGACCACACTGGCTGGGCATACCTGTAAGTGCCTAGCCAGCTTGTGACGGGACATGGAGAGGGGGCAGCCATACTCGGAGTTGAGGCACGGAACCTGCTCTAAAGGACACAGGAGCTTGTGCTCTGCCTCTTTGCACATGTGGAAGGTCGCACCACATAACAGGTGGCAGCTCACCACCAGGCAGGAGATGCCAGGCTCCACAGGAACATGGCAGTGGCGGTTGATGCATCCCTCACAATGTTTGTGCTGCCCAGGTGGGGGCCTGTGTACCCTGCCCTGTTCACACCAAGGGCAGAGGAAAAGAGAAAGCAAATGAATGCTGGAAGAGAAGCTCAATGTGGCTGTGCTCTGATTAACTCATTTCCTGTCTCTATGTGATTGGCACGGGAATCTTGTAATATTGAGACTCAGAGCAACAAATCCATTGTAATCCCACAATCCAGAAATAGCAATTATCAACACTCATAAAACATTTTAATAGTTTGTTCTATATATATGGTAGATATATTTAGAATACAGCCGAAAACATGAATGTAGCAGAATATATTATTGACAGTTGTTATTTTTGGGTTGTGGACTATGAGTAATTTATATCTCATTGTTAATACTATGAGTACAACTTTGTGTCTTCCCTTTTAACTTGCTCTTATGACATGAGACTGGTTTACTTTATGAATTATTCTTCATACACATTCTTCAGCGCAACACTCCAGAACACAAATGTGTTGTTATTCACTCAAGCAATCACCTCCAAGGGCATGCTGGAGGGCTGGCTTAGCTCCTATCTGCATGCCTAGCCCCTGGCATGGAGACTGGATTCTTGCAGCTACTCAGTAATACTTGCTGAATGAAGGAATTGTTAGTCATTTACATTGTTACTGGCTTTTTGCAATTTCATACCATTTGTACTATTTATACTACATTTAATTATCATAGTATTTATATTTATGGGATATAGTATAATTCAATACACACATACAAAGTGCTATGATCAAATCAGGATAATTAGCATTTAATCTCAAGTATTTATTACCTTTAGGTGTTAGGAACCTAATTTTTTAAAATGTATTTAGTACAGGGTCTATGGGGTCTCATTACATAGATCAGACTTGTAGTGATCCTCTTGTTTGCAGCCTCCCAAGCACTGGGATTATAGGTGTGTGTACCACCACACCCAGGCTCAGTCACTGTCTCAGTGTGCCCCAGGGGCAGGGCCAGCACGGCTGGTCTGGGGATTGAACCCCTGGTCCCTGCAGGTGCTTTAATCCACTGAGCTATCTGGCCAGCCCTGGGAACCTTATTTTTAAATAGTCACTAAAAATAATCCTTGCTCACAAATTGTTCTCAACTTTCTGCCTTCCCTTTATACTGTGTCAATTTCTTGCTAATAAATCAAACCTCAGGGACACATCTGTTAGCCATTCCAGATGCAGGTTAAATAAGTCAAGACCAGAACCTCTGAAAGTGAAGCTTCAGTAAGAATGTGGTACTTACCATAGCTTCGCAATTTTTCTTATTTCTTAATCCTAGGAGGCAATATGAAAATACAGCTGTAAATGATTAGTAAGAAAATAGTATACTTATATATTTTAGCAGGGGCCAAAGAGACTTCACTTCTCTCCTTAATACCTCAACCACCCTGGAGGTATTGCCCCCATTGTACAGTCAATATTTTTCTCCAAGGATACATATGTGATGGAATTAGGCTTTTCCATGCAGGATCATTCTCTTTTCATAAACCCACACTGCCCTCTGTTGGGCCAACCGTGTTTGTTGTTTCTTATGACTTCTCAATTGTCAACTGACAAGGGTGGGGGAAGATACTCAGCTGTCTAAAGCACCTGCTTAGGTAAGCTTAGACAAGAGTACAGGGACCATGGTTCCTTCCCTGGCACCACATGCCATGCCAGCCCCACTCCTGTGGTGGGCTGACCTGGCCACAGGAAAAAAAAATCAACTGACAGTTATCCTGGTGTTCCTACTGACCCTCCCTTACCTACAATCTATCTGGCCCAAGTCGTCCTCTAACATTCTCTCTCACTAAGACTTCGCCTGTACTGAGAAGTCTGCCTCATATTCAACTTGGTCTGGAGCAGTAGGTTAAGTGCCAGTGACAGATCTGTCCTCTGATATGACATTCACCTTAATGTCCTCAGCTAAAATGAGGTATATAAAGTAAAGCCATATTAATACAATGAGCTGTAAAAGGCTCAAGTCAATAACTTCTGAGAATAACCCACTACTATTATAGACTGCTGGATAGTGTTGGATTGTTTTGCTGAATTCAAACACCTATAGTATTTAGATGCCAATAGAATGCCCACCTCTGACAGGACTGAACTGGAGTGGGGGATACAGAGGAAGGACCATTTTGTATTTGTATATACAGAATAGTTAGGACAGATGTACAGCTACTTTCACTTAATTCAATAAGAAGAAAGAGGTGTACTAATAGTGTTTGGACAGGATATCCTTCCCGCTTCTCGTATTATGGATAACCACTAAGAAGATAACAATGTACAGTGTATTGATTATCGAAACTGTCCTATTAATCGGCTTTGAAACTGTCTCATTCATATTTGTTTCTCAATAAAATAAAAAAAAATGTCTTCAGCTGCTCTGTGGCTGGAGCAGGAGTCAAAACTTCAAAGGTTCTGGAAGCAGGCAAAGTGTGAGCCATGGCACAAGGAAGAAAAGATGTCCTGCCTTCACGAGAATGCTGCAGCTTTCGTGTGCCTGTTGGCTGAGTACAGTGAAATGGATTCTGGGCATGAATTCTTAAAGAGGACTTTCTCAAGCAAGGGGCCCAGGTATTTTCTTCTCATATGAAATACAATATTTTTACACCAGCAATGCATCAAATCTTGGTGATTCCTGAGATGCCCTTGAGGCATCTTTCTTCCTATCCCTGTGCAAAATACTTTTTTCATTTTCTTTCCTCTTCTTTTTAAAGTACATAATGGGACTGGGGAGATAGCTCAGTAGAATAAGTGCTTGCCTGGCACACTCAGGGTCCTGAGTTCAATTCCCGGTACTGCAAAAAAGGGGAAAAAATAAAAAAAGTAAAGTACATGATGTTGTATTTATTATGGGGAGATGGTAAAGTATAGAATAAACTTAATTCTGTTTCCTTCCCCTATCCTTCTTATTCCTCCCTGCTCCTTCTAGTTCTTGGTCTGCTTTGCAAAAGATCCATTTGTTTTTTGCTCTTCAGTTCTTCTTTCCCCCACCATCTTGCCCTTCCCTCTCTTATACCTCCCTCCGTACCTTATTCCCCTTGCTACCTGAAAATGATCTTCCTACTCACTGCAAGTTATGGTTTGTGTTTGGACGTCCACACAAAGCCTCCTGCAGCCATGGGAGGGTGGGCTTTTTGAATGCAGCTGAATCTAGTTTGTTATTGGTTCATTGTCTAGTGCTAGGATTGGGGTCTGAGTGCTACACCTGCCCTAGGGCAAGTAGCCTGCATAATCAAGGAGGGGACAGAGGCTTGTCTCTTCCCCTTTTGTTCCTGTTCCTTCTGTTATGTTCTGCCATCTTGAACTGCTGCCCCTCTGCCACGACACCCTGCCTGGGAGCCGCTGATTACAGACTGAAACTTCCACAGTGAGCTAAACAAGCTTTCCCTCTTTAACTCTGAGTGTTAGGGAATTTGTCCCTGCAACAAGAAAAGTAACTAAGATATTATCTATCTTTTGTTTTGCTCTTTATTTATATTTTAGGTTTCTCTCTTTAGCAACTACATCTCTCTTGGTCTTAACAGTACACATTTTTTTGGGGGGGAGGGGGGCAAGTTTTAAGTTTTTGTGTTCTGATTTTTGTCCCAAATTTTCACTATAGGGCCAGGGAGATGGCTCAGTGGAATAAGTGCTTCCCTGGCAAGCACAAGGGCCTGAGTTCAATCCCCAGTTCCACCAAGGGGGGGAAAAAAAAAAAACCCACAAGATTTACATTTGGGGGCCTGCCCCATAGCTCAGTTCTTTAAGTGGCTGCTTCATCAAAGCAGTCAGGCTCAGGTTGCTGTGGTTTGATACCCACAACTCAAGACAGCCAAACATGCCCTGAAGGCATTTGGAGCAAAAAAAAAAAATCCTTATTCCAAATTTTCACTATAAATCTAGCTAAAAGTAGTCAGAAGTACTCATGCCAAAATCTATTGCTGGGCTACCTTAAAACTTCATCTGCCAGATCAGTTAGTTTGCTATCCTAAATCTCACTCTTCCACAAAGTCTCAAAGCATCAGCAAGCGCACAGCTCAGCCGCATAGCACCTGCCTACCTGCCTAGCAAGCACAGGTGCACAGTTTGATTCCTGGTACAAAAAAAAAGACACAAACAAAATGTAGCCTAATCTTCTGCCACCATCTATGAAACACACATGACCCCTAATCCAATTTCCCATGGAGTACTTCTTACCAGCTGAAATCTCCCGGGTCTGACCTTTATTGCCCACAGGCCTATCAGCAGCCTGATTTTATTGTGAACTTAATGTAACTATTGTGGAAATTCTTAAATATTTGGCTAAAGATTCTGGAATTATTTGGTTCACAATAAGGAGTCATTTTACATTGTTCTTGGGGTGTTGACTAGGCATAGCTGTGAGATAGAGTAGGACGTAGGCTGATGGAAGCTTGGATGGGGAGAGCAAAAACAGCACCAGACAAGTTAGGTGAGATTACCGAGGAAGAATCGGATTTTTGTTTCTGGCTGGAGATGGAGAAAGAAGAATCAAATTTAATGCCAAGATTTTGAACTAGGAAGAGTGAATTCTGGCTATAATTTTGAGAAAAATAAGAGTTGTAGAACTATTTGTGGAAGCAAGATGGCTCCAGCAAGTTTAGTGCACGTGAGGACAGATCAGATGAAGATATAGATCAGCAACCATCCACTTAACAGTGAAGAAAGGAGCCTGACTGAGGAGTGAGAGCATAGAGCAGATCCTGGCACACTGGAATGCATCCTACATCTGACCCCTGTAGGGGAGGTTAGAGGAGCGACAGAGGGCTAAGCAATTCAGGACTGTGTGGTCACGAAGAGGACGGAAATGAAGAGCAAAGCCTTCCGATTCAGATGCCACCACCAAGAACAATGACAGCGACTTAGGGGAGGTCCCAAAGAGTTTTGGTCAGAGTAAATGTGGCATTGCAGCTATGGGATCGTGGGGCATTAGAAATGGAGTGCTTTCTTAGAGGGGATTGGAAAGCTACTAAGCACACACCCCAGCGTTAGCAGGCTTGTGACCACCTGCTTTCTATTCAGAGCAGCCATTCATTCATTATGGTGTGGAGCTCAGTTCCAGGAAGGGAAAAGAAGGGCTAAGCTAGTTCAATGGGCTTCGTGTTGACAGCGAGATCTCTGCCTGGCAGCAGGGACGTGTCCGCTGGAGGGACACCATGATAGTCTAAGGCCCATCCCCCACCTCCTTTGCAGTACTGCATGCTGGAGATTGAAGCCAGGAGCTTTCACATGGGACTAAATCCCTACCCCTTTTTTATTTTGTATTTGGAGACAAGTCTTGCTAAGTCACATAGTGGCCCACCTTGCATTTAAATTTGTAGCTCTCCTGCCCCAGCCTCCCAAAAGTGCTGAGATTGCAGTCATACTCCACTACGCCTTCTTACCCTTCAGCATTTAGTGTATGGTTCTTGGAAAGTGTTATTGAAGCTGGGAATATTTGTGATAGCATCTCATTTCTTTCCATCTCTGTGAAATTACTTGAAAATATCCTGTTGAGAGAAAATAACATACTCCAGCAGCAAAGATCTCTACCTGTTTCCCTCTCTCCTTTCCTTCTTTCTCTCTTTGTGCTGCTGCTATTAAAAACTTTGTCACATTCTGCAGCTCCAGATAGGTGACTTTGAGAGAATACACATGCTAAGCAGAAAGACATGGTAAGCAGGGGCCTCTCTGGAAGTTTGGCAATAGGAGAGAAGAAGGGGAAATATTAGCCTAAGGGCATAAAATCACATTTATCCCTTTTATTGTATAGCTGAGTAAAACTCAGTGAGATAAGGATCAACCCAGGCTTCTTGGTAGTCTAGTGTTGGGTGAATAGGGTGACTAATTGTCCTGGTTTGCCTAGGATTTAGGACTTTGTAGCTTAGCACTGAAAGTGCCATGTCCTAAAAACCCCCTCAGTCCCAAGCAAACTGGGCAGATGATTGATCCCTTTAAGTGGAGCCAGTCAGTGTTACCTCAGCTTAATCTAACTAGATGAGTCACTGGCTGCCTTGTGACAAGACAAGCTGTGCCTCTCGTCTTCTGGTGCCTGTGCACAGTGATGGCTTCAAATAAGAAAGGGAAGATTCTAGGGTCAAAAATCTGGACTACAATATGCATCCAGAAATTTAAATGAAACACCAAATCAGTCACACAGGTCATAGAAGCTGTGAAAAAATTCTGGGCAAGGGATATAGCTCAGTGGCACAAGCACTTGCCTGGCAAGCACAAGGCCCTGAGTTCGACTCTTAGTGATATTGGGGAATGAAACTCCTGACCTGAAAGATACCTGGGCAGAGTTCATGTTC